GGTGTCCTCTTCTGCGTCGGCACGCTCATGCTCGTCCTCACCAACAAGATGGGCCACACCCTTGCCTTGATCGCCCGTATCATCCAGGGCATGGGCGTCGGCAATTCGTCGTTCTCGCTGCCGATTTTTGGTGCTGAGATGGCCCCGAAGGAGCTCCGCGGTATGCTCTCGGGCTTTATGCAAATGTCGATCGTCACCGGTATCCTCCTCGCCGGTATCATCAACATCGTCGTCGAGAAGCAGGAGAAGGGCTGGCGCACCACCAACGCCGTCGCGATGGCCTTCCCGGTGATCGTCATGGCCGGTATCTTCTTCGTGCCCGAGTCGCCGCGCTGGCTGTACAAGGCCAAGGGCCGTGAGGTCGCTGAGACCGAGCTCAAGCGTCTCCGTCGTACCGAGAACGTCGGTGCTGAGCTCCAGGCCATTGGTGATGCCCTTGAAGAAGAGGGCCATGACTCGGCCACGTGGGCGGACCTCTGGCACCCGTCGATTCGCCCGCGCCTCATCATCGCGATGCTCCTCCAGCTCCTCCAGCAGGCCACCGGTATCAACCCTGTCTTTGTGTACGGCGGTCAAATCTTCAAGGACGTTGTCGGTGACGGCCTCACGTCGCTTTTGATCCTTCAGATCGTCAACTTTGTCTCGACGATCCCCGCCATGTACTGGGTCGACAAGATCGGTCGCCGCAAGCTCCTCCTCCTTGGTGGGGCTGGTATGGTCATCGGTCACTTGGTCTCGGCCATTGCGTTCTCGGCCGGTTGCCATGGTGACACGGAAGACTCTGGCTGCTCGAAGGGTGCGGGCTGGACCATGATTGTGTTCACGGCCTTCTTCATCTTCAACTTTGCGATTTCGTGGGGTCCGATCTGCTGGATCTACCCGGCCGAGATCTTCCCGATGAACGTGCGCGCCAAGGCCGTGTCGGCGTCGACGATGACCAACTGGTGCATGGGTGCGCTCATGATTGGCATCCCCAAGCTCTTCCCGTACCTCAACATCAACGGCGTCTTCTTCCTCTTTGCGGCGCTCTGTACCGTTGCCGGTGTCTATGTCTACTTCAAGTGCCCGGAAACCAAGGGTGTGCTTCTCGAAGACATCGAGCAGCTCTTCTCGGGTTCCAAGCACATCGCACCGGTGGCCAAGGACACCTCGATCGAGACGCCCAAGCTCGACGAGGTCTAATGCCCGTCTTCTGTTGATAATATAATGTGTGCCGTTTTCTCAAAAAAAATCACGTATTTTTATTCACGCCGCCACCCGCGCAGCTTGCAGTTGGCCTTGCAGTTGCCCGCTTGCTTGCTTGCACTTCAAGGCCTTCCTCCCATGACCTGCTTGAAGCCGTCGATGAGCCGTCGCGTGCGCGGCGGGCGGCGGCGTGGGACAATCAATTCACTACCGGATAGCAAAAACACCACCAATCAACGTGCAGCCGTATAAATCGGGTAAAGTGAGTCATGGACGTCCATCTAGGTCAACCTTTTCCACGCTGTGCAAAGCATGCAAAGGCCCATATAGAAGGCTATCCAAGCTGGTTCGCAGGAATCCCTTCACGCCCTTGTGTCGCAAGACGACCTCATCGCTACAACCGCGTGTCCCACAGCCGAAGGGAACGACGCTACGCTCAAGCACCACGCCGACTTTGTTCATTCTCCAATTTGCTCTTTGCACAGCAGTCCCGGACCCGCGATGTCGTCGCCCCTCCGTGAGAACTTTTACGCGGTCTGCGTCTGCGCCTTTGCGTCGCTCGGCGGCATCTTCTTTGGCTACGATAACGGCGTCGC